GCCCGAGCTTAATACTTGGTGTGCTTGCTTTTGTAACTGTATTAAAATTTGAGGGTAAAATTACATGCGAAACATTCATATAGACCGAAAGATGTACTAAGTTGGGACCCGAGCTCATGGCCTTGAGTACATAAGTCAAAGCCCTCGCTGAGCAGCGGGATGACCCGTGTTTATAACTCGTTACATTTCATTCATAAATCATAAATAAAAAGTGGCAAGTAAAATTTTTTATAATATTCTGATACTCCATTGTAAAGTGTCATAGCCGCTTTCTGCATTTCTAATAAAATAAAAATTCGAAATATATTAGTTTGTGTATCTAATGTTTATCCATTATAATTTAAAAAAGGTATTTTATTTGTTTGTACTATCTTTTTTATAATTATACTATATTCTAAGTTTTGTTATCTCAAAGAGTCTTTTCTATTGCTTTTCTTTTATTGTATTTTTTAAAACTTAGAGCCCCATTTCCAGGTTTCTTATGCAAGTTGAACATTTACCCTCCTACGCACATGGTTTCCAAACTAACGTAGCCTCCTTTTTCTACTTTACCTCGAGTGGCTTTAAACCTTATCGCTGTTTTTTTAGAATTTCTGTTTAACTGCTTTTACTTAACTCTTTACCTACTGCATTACACTAAAAATTGATTAATTCTATCTCAAGAACTTTAATCGGAAACTTACTTTTGATTCTACTAATGTAAAAAGCATCAAAGTTTATATAGTTAACACCTGTCTTTTCCTTTAATATTATTCCATCCTGTTTTCTTTTATAAACCTTCTGAATGTAAATCTACATATATTGGTATTCCACAATCTTTTTGTCATTAAGTTCACATATTATTGCCCTTAAGTTTTTGCTTTTTCTGACTTCAAAATGTGACTTTACATAAAAATTTTCATGATCTAAAATAAGACAAACTTCTAGTAATAGTTTTGCAGTAGGGTAACTTAGCTATTAGATACTATAAAAATGCCAAAGTAACGTTTTAGTATTCACGAAATACGTGGTGTGCCTCTTTTTTTATCTAATGTAACTTTTACTAGAAAGTAAGTTTTTGCTAAAAGTTGAACTTTTTTCAGTTAAATCGCTCAACGTATTGGCACCATTATTTCAATATTTTTTGAATTATGGATTAGTAAAATGATTTTGAAAACAACTTTTTATTACTTACTAACTTTATTCTTTTTCCCTCATCTAAACTCCAGGCTCTTAATAGTTTTTAGAAAAAACCTTCGGTAATAGTAAGACAGCGCCTGTTTAGTCCCCTTACACTAATTTTATAGTGATTAATTCTTTATAGTGGCTGATGTTTAAAGGTAGCTTATCTTTTGGAATGTTAACTTCCCACTCCATTATTTTCGAGAAATACTATAATATAAGCTAATCAAGAACGAACACTGCTAGCTCACATCCAGAGGCGGGGGGGGAGGGAGAGAGAATATATCAAACGTTTTTCTTGCTAACACTTCGTACTACTCGTACGTGCTTCAGTAGCAAAAATCTTTACTATTTTTTTTATTTACCAAAGAATCTGCATAATAGTAAATGCCTAAACCCTCTCTCTCCCAGCAGATTATGAACCCTTTAACGACAACTTTCAATAAAGGCATCTCCTATTATAGTATTTTTTTTTTTCTCGAACGCCTCTACTAGAAAATTACTACAGTTTTAAAGGCTAACACTTTAATGCACACCAAGCAAAAATCTACAATAACAGCTCCATATAAGAATCGAGGAGAAACAAACGCCTTTATACTTTCCAATTTAACTAAACTTCAGTGCAACCTAATGTGCAATACGGTATACCATCACTTTTTCCTCTTCATTAACACATAAATATTTCTCTGCAATTCTTTTAGGAATATAATTTCACTAGGCATCAAACCTAGTCTTAATAAAACCAAAAAAAGAAAACCTATTTTTCCTTCGTAAGAATTATTTTTTTAACAAAAACTGTTAGTTTCTTTCTTCTCTCTAGGCTAAGTCAATGAACTTTTTTAAGGTCTTAATAACGTTTCATAATTCTTTTCTCAAGTTTTATTAAACTAGTTTGACTAGTTGAAAAAAAATATTTAAAACCATATTTGATGATTTCAGAATTGTATACTGGTAAATTATAAATTTCTTTCTTGAAAATTGTTCAACACAAATAAAAATTAAAAATTCTCGCTATAAATATAATAAAGAATTACATCTTGTGCTATATTAAAAATATTAAACAACAAATACACTATAAAACATGGGGAAAGGCACGTGCCGCCTTGTTGTTAAAAAAGTACTGCACTGAAGAACATCAAAAAACTTGAGTCAGACTATAAATACAAGATTCTAAGGGAGCGTTGTGCGTTTACATTAAATTTACAATTTATATATATCATATACAAGGAAAAAAAAGTTGATTAAAATTAAAAAAGATATAATTTATAAAAATTAAAATAACTTTAAACAAAAGGAATAAAAAAATAGAACAACTAAAGTATATTAAAAGGTATCTACATAAAAACAATATGAAATATTTAAATTTACTATAACTAAAGCTTTCCTACAAAATTACCAAGTATAAAGGTACTTTTATATCTATAAATTAAAATAAAAAAATACCTTAAAAGACTGAATATTGTAGACTTTCTATTTATATTAAATAATAATAAATTGAAAAATGGCTGATGGGAAAAGCACTTGTCAAGAGTAAGATTATTAGCGAATAAAAAACAAATGAACAAAGAAAATACGACAAAATAGTGGCCGTCTAATATAATAATGATGGTGTCTGAACACAATTCCGAAAAGCAACTCTTTTTGTCCCAACTTGCAATAAAATATACAACAAACTTTTTGCAGTCAAGTACGGTTGCTGGGCTGTAGGGGTGAGGCTCCCTATGTATTTGCTGCTTCTCCTGTATTACAACTGCACTTTTAACCACGCAATTTAAGGGCTAATATTAATATGAACAAAAAAAAAATTCATTATAGATAATACCTTTATTATTTTGTAACACAAAGAATCCTTCACTTAAAAGTTTAATAGTGTAAAAGTATTTTTTCTAAAAAACAAACCTGTTTCTCAAACGTTAAAAGTTTCTACGACCAAAGAATTCATACATTATATTATAGTAGAAAGCAAAGCGTCACGGGTCATAAGGTAATATACGAAGCTAAGGTATCTGCATGCTGTTGCAAAGACAAAGAACCGAGGTAAAAAATATATTTATTATAAAGAAATGTAATTTAAGAACAAAAGCAGATAAGGTAAAAGAAATAAGATAAAACTGCGCTAGAAAAAAAGTATTTTAAATTAATAGACTGGAAGACGAAACAAAACTGAGGTTTAAAGGTAAGACTACAAATTTTTTTTTTTTGAGGTGTTCTTTTTACTTTCTACCTCCATTAAAGTATTAATATTTTTTTTGGGCTATGCGTTTTGTATAATTTAAACAAATATTTCCTTTTTTATTCATCTCTTCGTTTTGTTCCCTAACACGTAAACACAACCAAGACTTATAGTAGCAAGCACAATAGTTGTCAATTCACAACTTTAAAACAGCAGTTATCGGTTGTAAATTATTTGCCCTGAAAATTGAGTTTCGATGACAACTTTCTTTGTGTGCTTTATAAACAATTATACTTAGCCAGATATAATACTTTTAGCGTTATACAGTAGGAGGCACGCGTTTACTTTAAAAAGTTCTAAAGCTTAACTCACTACCTCATGACTTATTTAGGGGTATAAATAACGCTGAACCTTATGGCAAAAGAAAAGATGTATTATAGAGCTACAGATCCAGCATTAAAAAAATTAATTAATTCTTATATTAATTTATTTATATACCTTAAGAGACTTTAATCATATTTGTCTTTTAATAAATAAATCCTTTATTAGGTGTTTTATAATTTTTAAATTTAACTGATTGTGCGTGTTTTTCTTTGTAGTTAATATTATCAAAATTACTTTCATTAGTTAATTTAGATCATTTTTTGTTTAAGCTTAGCGATTATGTAAAATTATTATTAGTACATTTGATGTTGATATTTTTTTTTATAATTGTGTTTTTATCACTGCGAGCCTTTCGAACATGCACTCTCTATCTCTGCTTTTAATGGCGCACGAGCTATATAAATATTATTTTTGTTTCTTAACTTAGTGAAGCACCAAAAAAGTACATGCCAATACATGTCAACAACCAATTGTTACTAATATAAACCCCCCTCTTTTCTAACACTACAAGAAGGGAAGTGAATTGCAATAATTTATAATTGATATTAAAGAAAAAGATGTTTGACTTACGTGCACGCACTAGAATTTTAACTGGTAAAATGTTATGCGAGATATCTTTCAGAAATTCCCTATGTTATTAATTGTGACTACATGGAGATAGCATTTAAGCTAGAAGAGAAGCTAGGATTTGTGCTGAGGCCGAGGGAAAGCCTTCAGCAATGTATTAAAGAACACCGCGACACCCTTGCAAGCGCCATTTAGTTAAATATACTACGGGCTAGAGGAGTTAATATGTTAACAGTTTAATATTTAAAGTTGGTTGACTCGATTGGGCGCAAGAAAAAGTCGATTCGTGACTCTTAATAATAAAAGGAGTGCACTACAGGGCCAAGCCTTTTATGTTATAATAAGCTTATTGTAAGCTACCTTACTGGATTAATAAAAGAGCCAGTGCAAGGCTATTAGGGGGGTAGTCGACGAACCTAGATATCTTCAAATAGCTTATTTATTATAATAAAATATTATACTAAACTGCTCGTCAGTGAAAACTTTGTGAAAAATAACCGTACGGGAGTACAGATATCTGCTCATAACACAGTCAATAGCTAACTAGCAGTACCAACTTATTAGTATACGTTATTTCAGTGGTAACTGTATACTACGATGAAAGTTAAAAGTTTAGTGTAGGCATTGTATATTTTCACTAAATAAAATAAAAACTGCTATAAGTAGTCCTGAAGTTATAGTTTACATAAAATTAAAAACAAATTCCATTTTATTGTAGCTATATTATTTCCGCAGGTTAAATAATTCTTTAAGCATTAGTTGATGTACTCAGGGCGGCCTTACAAAGTAAGTTTTAGTTTATAAGCCAACGTAGACATATACAAGCTAAGAAATATACCCGACGGAATAGTGCACCCAGACTGTTGAAGTATAACGCACGCGGTGTAATGCCCGCACCGAACGCACTCGTCGAGGGGCTTTCCTGGTAATTATAAGGCGACCGTGATCCAACGCCGTAGGAAGTTTACAAAGTCAGTGACCCATGACATACTGTGCGAGAAACCCTCCAAAAAAGGCGTCCCCCGCTGCATTGGTGTCCACAATCTCGCCATCTTCCAGCGGAGAGACTTCGTGCAGTGTTACTCTGCCTGCAACGCAGTTATGATTTATATAAAAAAAACAAATAAAAAAGATTAACAATTACCATCATAACAGACGATAGTCGGAAGAGGACCTCGCGTTATTACAATAACACGCTGCCTTTGTGGGTTTTCCTTCTTCATACGACTCAGCTCAAGGGCAATACTTTCCAACGAGGTCACCTCCAGCCCTAAGAAACTGTTATGTTAATTTTTTTCAAGAAACGACCTTCAATTATATATACCAATCTCTTCAGCAAAAGCGCAAGCCTCTGTTTCGTTTCCACACAACACATCCCAGTAAGAAGATAAGGAAAGCAATTGAGCTTTGAACGAGCGGACAAGATAAACAGCCGACAAGTTCATGCAGAAAACTTTGTTTGTTTCTGCACAGTACTGGGCAAGTTTGAAGATCGACTCAAAACTAGAAACTAAAAAGTAAGCAGCAGAATAGAGAAGTTTAGCCTACAAATAACGAAAGACATTATATAAAGTAAATAGTGGGGAGTGAAAGCAAAGGATTCCTTTTCCACAAGCGCAGCAACCTCCGGCTTTTCCAAAAAACTGATATGAAAGTTTTTAGCAGCAGATAAATTAGCCACTAACGAACGTTGCTGGGCTGTAATAAGTACAGCGCACGTTCCTGCGGAAAAAAAAAAGAATAACAAACTTTTATAATATTAAAGAAAAAAGGATACCTGTAGGGAGCGTGTCGTCTTCCATATAAACAGTTCGCACTCCTTCTTTCTCGCAAATGCACTTCATTATGCCAGCATAACGGTCTTTTCCCACACACCCCACATATGTACAAGAGCGGGGCGCTTCTAGAATCCTTTTAAAAGTACAACAGTTTATAAACATGTCTATAAAATTATGTAGTATACAAAAGATTCGCTCCTTAACTACAATTCAAGGATTCTAAAGGGCTTAAAAGTCATAATAATTAATTCTTTCCATATTATAAAAAATTAATTTCACCTCCGCAGCGTGCAGAAAAGTTTTTACTTAATTATTAGTTTATATCAAATAATATCTGTTAAGCAAAAAAATAGCCAACCATTTAGCAATACGGATAGCATTCTGAGTTGCCCCGCCGGGGACAAAGTTCACGTTAGGAAGTTCGGAGATTTCTTTATACAAAGGCAAGTGCGAGTGCTCTATACGAACACTTCACTTGAGAAATATAGAAGAAGAGCCAACGGCCATACAACCAGCTAGTATTGCGCTATTAGGCTCTAGTTTATACTTTTTCAATAACTCTTCCGTAACACTAGCAGAGATGTCCAGGAGAGGATTTCCTATTCCTAATATACTTCAGGCAGTATAGCATGAGTTAATTATTAAATTGCGAACCTAAAATCAGTCCCTCTTTGGTCATTATATAAGCTTGAATTTATGAAGTTCAAATTGCTAAGGGAAAAGGTTTCCAAAATTTTGGAAAAAACTATGTTAAAAAAAAATATATATATATATAATAAATACAAAAATTAAAGTGTTTAAAAAAAGTTTTCATTTAGAGTATTGTAACTAAAATTGTGACCTCTTCACTTTTATATAATATTTATTTCTAAGCACTCGCCACCGAAGGGAAGAACAAAACCTTTCGGAGGAAGATTTTAATTATTAGTTAATACTTGGTTAACTTTGTAAGCAGAAAATGGAAATATAACCAAGAAAGCGAAATATACCTTAAATTTCACACCTTTTGAAGTATTCAACTATGATAACAAGGCGAGCTTTTTCTCCCTGTCTAGCACAAGCAGTAGATGACGGAAATGTTTTTAAAAAGCACGAGGTGATCCGGTTTTTCCCTGTCTGTGGTTTTTTAATAGAAGTCTACACCTAAAAACCACTTTCTAATAAAATGTTTAAATTAAGCATAAAGTGCACCTTAGATAATTTTTTATCTAAAAATAACAAAAAAGTTAAAACGTAATAAGATACTTTACTATGTATCACTGTAACTTATTTTTATTCATTATCAAGTAGACCAAGGTTATTAAATATGCATTGTTGCTTTATTTACCTCACAAAGTGAAACCTCCTCATTTTTATAATATTTTAAATCCTAAAAGAAAAATTTATACTGTTATCTCAAGTTTCATAAAAGTAGCATTTTTAAAGGCAATATAACTTATCAATTCTTTTTACTAAGATTAAGTAAATAGGGCGACTTAATAGTAGTCAATTCAGCTGAAAAAATTTTCTCTATTAGGGTTCACACTTAGTATTATATTTTAGGAGTTACAATAAACGTTAGTATTATGTCAAGCAACCAAGTGTGATAAATATCATAATGATATTAAAATAAAAATCTCAAAGAAAATTATGGTGTTTGTCCCAAAGAAAAGCATACGTTTAGCGTTTTTCTAGATGGAGTTTTTTTTGAAGTAATTGATATATTTTATTTATTATAAAAATTACATTATTAACTTGCAAATTTTAAATATATTTAATACTTACGTCTGACACTCACGCAGTGATCTTATCTGGTACTTGACGTTACGTCCTCTAAAGATGATTTGTTTTCATATAACTGATTCGGGTTAGCTTGATAAAAAAAAAAATTGATGGGTCTTTTCTTCCTAACAACGTTAGTTATAAAAAAGTATCTTATAAAGCAAAGATCGCGCTAAATTAAATGATTCACTTTTAAAAAAATTTTTTAGAGTCAGGCTCAGATGTAGGCCACATTTTCTTAAAATGTTTTGTCTTTATTCGAAAAAATTTTTAAAAAATTGGTAGGTTTCTTTTCCTAAGAACAGAAAAGTTGTTATGACGGAAATAATTTAAATAAATATAATTATGACGACTCCTATTAGGAAAAAATAGCTTTAAGTAAATTTTAGATGCAGATTACTTTTTTTTTCATCAATTTTTTATTGAAATATTTTTCGTCGTTGTGTATACTCATTCGACTGTCTGATGAAATCGCCTAAAATAATTTAATGAAGTTTGCTTATAATTATAACTTCAGCTAAATTGCTTTTTACAGAGAATCTTAGCCGCTGCGTATTTTTTAGCTGTAAAATTGTATTAGTTTTTGTTAGAATTTACTAATTTTTTTAAAAAGCGAATTATCATTTTTTCCATAAATATTGCTCTTGTTTAATGTTTACGGGAACCACAAATTCTGACAATATAAAAAAATTAACACTTTCAAAAATGAACATTTGACTCGACTTTTACAAATGGGGCCAAAGCAACTTTATATGTTCTGTACAATACTTAAAAAAATTTTTATAGGCCTTGAAGTATTGCTTATACTATTGAAGATTAAAGTAAGAAATAATTTATAATTTACGCAACTAAAAAATGGGATGAAATATGTTGCAGTTCTCAAGTTAAGGCTATAATACATTTTAGTACCTACTTTTAAGCTCGTTTAGAATAAAATAAGGATGTGCTGCCTGAAGTTAGCACGCTTTTCTATCTAATTAAAGACAAACGCTTTTAAAACTGATAGGAAACTTAATAAACTCTTGCTATAGTTAATTTCTCTAGAGCGGTTCTGTCCAACGGGTAAAGGAGAGCATATGCCAGCTATGGGAAAATATTATAAAGATATATAATCGCTATGTATCCTTTTATTGATAATGAAGCATATATTTTGTTGTTTGCTTGGCAAAAATTAATATAAACTGAGAGTCACAGCAAAAAACCAGTTTTTATAGAACGAATGATGGTTATAGACAACTAATTATGAGAAAAAGTTTATCGAAGAACATGAAACCAAATAAAATAAGGCTAAATGAGTAATGTAGTGCGCTTATTATAAAAAATTAAAAAGTTTTAAAATAAGAGGATTTTTTTTACGCATACGCAACATAATGGGGATTAGTCAAATTTACTCCAAAAAAAATTCTTTTTTCTGGGTGTGTTAAACGTATACTGGTTGGATCTACCCGATCATACAAAGAAAGAGAAGATAAAGAAATTTTAAGGTATGAGACATCCTAAAGTGTAAATTAGAAGCTTTTGAACGATGTCTCTGATGCCATATTAAAAGGGCTTGAACTGAACATGTTGAGTTTCACTTGCCAATGAGATGTACGGTACGGCAACCATTATAATCTGGGTAGAGCAGAACTAATATAAAGATTTAAACTTCAGTGAAGTATGTAACCAACAGAAATTTTAATAAATTTTCAACGCAGCAAACGACCTTCACGTAGCCCAAAGGCAGAACGTTTTGATGAAGAGAAGACATGTTTTCAGCAACCACAAGGGTAAGAGAACGAGCTATAAAGAAAGCTCTATATATGCCAAGCTATCAAAGTGTTTTAAGCATGATTGCTAATTTAATCATTTTTTCGTAATTTACTCAGGATTAGTTAAATTGTACTTTTCTTTTAAAGAAATAAGTAAACTAAAAATAGTACAGCTTCAACTATATTTTCAAAAGTTAAAACGTCTTTTACTATGTGCAAACGATCAAAAACATAACGAGTACTCTTTTGTAATAATAGCTTTAGTAAAAGAGTTGTGCACAAGACTAAGATTATTTAATCCCACAGGCTTTTTGAAACGATACGAGAATATAAATTCCACCTCTACTATTGAAGTGTTAATAAAAACATGAATGACAAGTATAGAAAACTTTGTCTTCATATAAATAGCAAAAAAAATAAGAACGGAGTGTATACACATGTTTTTATTTATTTTTAGCACAGAGCGCCATATTATGCGGGCGGTGTTACGATCCTAAGAAGTAAAATGTTTTATGTGGGTAAATTTTACATAAAATAAAAAGACTAGGAAGAAAAACGAACAAAAGCTTATAGACGAATGTAAGGGAGTAGATCCAGTAAAAGAGGTAAATAAAAATACATAGAGACTAGCAGCGCGTTCAGAGTTGAGAGAAAACTAAACTTATATATTAATATAAAAAAGAAGTAAAACTAAATCTAGCTCTTTTAAATTAAATATAAACTTAAAACTTGAAAGGTAACAGGAAGAAGGTCCTATGCCAAAGTTTAACTTTTAACTCTGTGATATGGCGTAAGACTGTTGTTATTAATAGCGCGCCAATTATTTGTGGTCTTAATGCATATCTCCATTTAAGCAGTTTGATATAAGATAGTAACAAATGAGTAAGGAGGAAAGAAAAGAAAAAAGGAACAACCACCGCTCACGTGTTTTGATTTTACCAGTTTTGAATTTATACTTTCCTTTTACTATTGTTCCCAGTTTTCACTAGACCACGTGGATTTACTAATTGGAATCGCTACGAAGGTCCCACTCTATAAATATTTTGCTTGAGCTAAATTAAATATTTAAAGCACGTTTACAAGACACTAAATTCCCTTATTGACGAATATGCAAGGCTTCCACACTTTATCTTCCATCCTCGTATTTTTTTAAACTTTGAAAAGTACTTACTTTGAATATTAAGCAACATTCCAAGGTTGTTAAAATTTTTTTTAACCACCATCATTAGTAAGGGGGGGAGGGGTGGATGGACAGGAAAACTAAATGGTTTCATTGTTACCTAGATTCTTTTTAATATACTGTACTGTCTATTGCCTTACATTGCCTTACATGATTCCATCCTCTTACGCTGGTTCTCGCCTTGCCCTTTCGATTTTAACTGGGATGCTTACATTTATTAAGTAATTCTGGGACTGAGGAGGAAAGCTATTAAACTGATCTACTTAGGTGACCTTTCACCTAAAGTATTGTTTTTATATATGTACTTACAAAACGTTTGAGTAAACTCTGATAAACCGTGTGCTCATAGCACTTCATTTGCCTGCTAGTGTAAAACGTGATTCTGCACGTACTCCGTACTATGTGACTTCGTCACACGTAACCCTGTTCCATTTATTACTCTCCCTGGAGGTACAAATAACTTTCCTCAACGCACAATAAAAATTTGATGGCTCCTCCCTTTTTCAAAGTACGTTGTGCTAAGTAATTCCACCGCGAAGTGATCATGATAAACCTCATTGGTCATTGTAAAATGTGTTATGATTTAGCTTTTCATTCCCTTCATAAGCTAATTCTTATGATAATATTTAAGATAATGGTCTAAATTCTTAATTTTAGGAAAACTATTATTAAAATAATCGACCTCTAAAAAAAATATTTAATTATACCGCTAGCTATAAAAGGTTTTTTAAAACTGCCACATAGTCTAATATATAATTAATAATATCGGATGTTAAATAATTGTAAGCTGAAAAGAACCTAAGGCAGTAGCTTGCTACTTTGGTCTGAGTTGGCAGCTTCCGCTGTAACACTGCTTTTTTCTACCCATAAAACTTTCCTCTGCGCTTAAAAGTGGTGGAGCATACACCCCAAAAAGATTGTTACTAGTTCTACGTTTGAGGCTTATAATTTTTATATAGTTTTATAAAAAAATTTACGTATTGGAAGCATCACTTAATGCAATTTATATTTATCTGGAGCCGGTAATTTTACCTTGGTATCCTTACTTTAGCGCTGTATATCCTTTTGACCTTACTTATGCATGCAGTTTTATTAAAAATACAAACACACTAAAACTAGTTTATTATAATAAATATACATAAAAATGCTATTAACTAAGTAAATGTATTATCAGTATTTAGATTTTTATAAATATGGTGCAGTATAATTCTAGTAAATAAAACGGAGATAGGTGTTTTTATAACGGTATTTTAAGTTTATACATTTATTTATTAATTATAGTTTAATTTTTAATTGATTTTTTGTGACAAGTTTATTAGTTCAATGTATTTTTAAAATTTTTAATCTCAAGATTATGCTATATAATAAT